AGTAAGACTTTTAATCAATAAATGAAAATGATAGTGTCAGACCCCTTACATGTACACATGTACACATCAAATAAACTACAATCCACTATTCAGCAGAGATCTACCTGGTAATCTCTTACTACTTAAAAATACACACTATAGTATTTCAGCATCCACATGTAGATGCTATACAGCTGTCACAGCTATGTCCTATAATAAGCCTATGAAGTGGTAAACTCTTAGTCTGCACTTGAGGACAACTGCAGCTCAGAGAACCTGCTTTCCTTTGGCATCACCAGTAAATACAGATTTGATTTCAAAGACTATATCCTTTCCTATTTATAGTGCCCTAAACTTGTATGTGCATGTGGGTATTTATCACTCATATGCTGTAATAATTTTGACCATATATTAGGGTGTGTGCATGTGCACACAAGTGGTACTTGGGAATGAACCTAGGACCTTCTGCATGTGAGGTAAGTGTTCACCATCCAATTATATTCAAAACATTTTAATCTTCATCTTGAGACAGGATCTCAATATAAATTGCCAGAAAAGACTTGAACTCCCTCAAGAATGACTTGAGCTTATAATCTTCCTTGAATGTAGGATAATATTAATTATAGACTCAGTTTATTTACAATTCTATGAAAGTATACTAGCAGAGTCACTTATTCAGCAGAATACAGTAAAATGCTTTTCTCTGCATATTATTACATGCTCCTCATATGTGCAATTCATATTTTGTCTTAAAGCCGATGGGCCTGATAGTGCCCTCCTGTAATCCTTGTGCCTCCGGAAGAGTATGTGGAGCAGACCACTCAGGGTTCTGGGGATTGGAGAACAGAATGCTATCAAAGTCAGGACTGTCACTGAACAGAATTCAAAAGAGGAACAGTAGAAACTATACAAGTGAGCAGAGAACACCTCTAGGAAAGTGACAACTTTATTGGAGACCTATATGACCCAAATGGGCATGGTCAGTGCCACAGATGCAGCTGGGTGGATCTCTCACTACAATTCCCCTTTTAGTCTAAAGAAAAAGATTTAGGCTTGATACAAAACTATATACAAAGGTAGCAAATATCAAGTGTGCTCTAGGAGGAAATGTAAGAACATACACACTTAAAACCTGTTGCAGTGAAGCAACAAGAGCAAAATAAGAAGAGCTACAGGGAACAGTAGAAAATGGGAGAACAACATGAGCCATGAGGAAAAAGGGGTTATGTCTGAGGATTGGCAGGGAAAACTGTATCAGAGACGAGGACAGAGAGAGGGATGCACACACCACTGCATCCCTGAAGGCCTGATAAGGGGTTTGGGTTTTGTTCTAAATGTAAGGAGACAACCTGATTTAAAGAAAAGATTACCAGCAGAAAGAGAAGGGAGGAGGGGATCAGAAAAGTTAAGAGGGGACTGTGGTACACCAGCAGGAAACAGAGTTGAACTAAGGTGGTACCAGAAGAGGTGACATCTTTTTGGTTCCTGGAGTGATCGGCATAAATCTTCAGGATAGTTTTAATTGTGGGGCTGAAACTATCACTAAGGAAGTGAGTGAAGAGGGGTATGAAAGGATGGGTTCTCTCCACTCCAGCAGCTGAGCAAGACTGCACCCCTACTTGAGTGCATGTGAAGCGCACTGTGCACCCCTGCAAGCCTAAGTTCCTTTTCTAAGCACAACACAAAATCAGGTAGTTTGGAATTAGTTTCCATGCAGTCATTGTTTCTGATCACATAGAAAATAAGTATGACAAATGGGACAGAAATTTTAAAATTTGTCCCTCAATGCAGCGGCCTCTAAATTTAATATGGAATCAAACCTTGCCATATTATACTAGAAGTCAATAAATGGAATTTTTCAATATGTGAAGTCTGACAAATAAAGATTTTTAAACCTAAAACCTGAAAATATACACAAATTGTACAAGTAGTTTTACTTTGTGTAGTGATAATGTAAAGAGAATGACCCACATAAGCTCATATATTTGAATACTTGGTCCCCAGCTGTTGTAACTGTTTGGCAAGGATTAAGAGGTATGGCCTTGTTGGAGGAGGTGTGTTACTGGTGGTGGGCTTTGAGGTTTCACAAGCCCATGCCATTCCTAACATCTCTGTCTCCTGATTGTGTTTTAAGATATAAGCTGTCAGCTACCGCCATGTCTGTCTACCTGCAGCCATGCTCACTGCTGTGGTAGTCATGGTCTTTAACTCTCTGAAACTATGAGCCCCAAATAAACTCTTTCTTCTACATGTTGCCTTGATCACGGTGTTATCTACAGCAACAGAAATAATAACTAAGACACTGTAACACGAACTGCCCTGCGCTGTTAGAGTACCTGATACTAAAATGTCATATGCCTATAATAAAGAAGTATCAAATACAAGGAAGTAAATGATTCATGGGAAAGAGCTACTAAGAACAAAAAATATCTATAATGAAGAAAGTAAAACTTTGAGTCCCCTCTGGGATACTTAGATAATGTGGAAATTAAAGAAAAGGAGGACTTAAAGTCTTAAAGGAAAACTAATACATAGGATTTCTTTTCAAAGGCAGTCAATTTCAATCTTCTTGTTTTAAATCATTTCAAGTATTTTAGCTTTCTTGGTGTAAGGACAGGGTATTGAAGAATGAAACACATTAGCAACAGCAGCTTATTTTTGAATTCCGTTTGACATGAATAACAGCTACTCGGCAGCATGGTGACGAGGACTAGAGGAAATTATGTTACACACACCCCAGAAAACACTTAGAGCCGTGTAAGTGGCTAATACTTCCTTTAGCCTCTTTTCCCTTCTCACAATCAGGCATTCAGTGTGTCTGTAGTTGCCTGGACAGCACAGTCTGAAGTGAGGGAGACTAATCTAACAGCAGTGGGCATGGCACAATCACACCAATTTTGTAGTTTCTGTATATAATTCACATTCTCCTGTACTTACTGTGTATCACCCTTCAAGAGAAGGAAGCTGTTTTGAAATTCTGTAGCTTAGCTGACCAGTAATGCTCAAATATAGAAACCACATTCTACAAGACTAAAAGGCATTAAGAATACCACACCCCCACCCCCACTCACCCACCCACCCACACACACACCCACACACACCAATAAGGGCTAGAGAGGTTGCTCAGCTGTCAGAGCTGGGGCTCAGTCTCTATCACAAACAAAATTCACAGGGAATATTTACATACTTTGCTTGAGACCAAGAACTGACAAGTCAATATATTACAGGGTAAGAGTTACACTTTTTCCAACTATTGCTTATTGACTTCACTTGTGGTACTGGGTAAAACATATAATATATGATAATATATAACATATACATAACTTTTCTAACTTTCACAAATAAAACCCATCTCAAGTCTCTGTGCAGGGTTTAGTCTGTGCTCTGCAGTCAGTGCTCTAAAGGTGCACTGAGTCAGTACAGTTGTGCACCTTAGAGACAGCAGCCCTCCACATCTATGAAGTAACTGCACCATGCCTCCCTTTGGGTACTGCACACACAACCATTCCCAGGAAGGCCTGGATATCCTCACAGATGTTAAAGAAACAGCTGCTGACCACAGAAAGGCTACCAGCATGACTCTCCTCTGCACTGCTCCAGGTCACTTGGTCACCTTTAATCTTGACAAATTTCTCATACTACAAAACGTGAGTGACCCCATACCATCATTCCACAATTAAGGAAACAGCCATTTAACAACCAACTCTCCAAATGGCAGTTAGCTTCTATCACCCCTTCTTTATAGCCAGCCATCCTCACTCTCTATTCCTTTTGTCATATTTACTCTAATACGAATCTTACAATCCCTAACTTTTAAAGGTGGAAGGCCCAGAGGAATACCTCAGCTTTTAATTCCACTTGACACTTCTAGTGCCCTTTTCTTCTTTCTTCGTCATTCTAACACTCACTAGCACCTCTGGGAGACCCTGCCTCACTGGATGAGGCAGCCAGCAAGGAAGATTCCCACCCAGCCTCAGGCCTCCATATCCAAGGACTCACACATGCATTCAATACACATGCAAGCACACACACACACTTGCACACGTGCATGTGCACAAATATGAAAAAGAGGAAAAAAGAACGAAGGGAAAGAATATATTTAGGAAAAGGAGGCAAAGGAATTTACCCACTCTGATGTTCATTAGACAACCTACTCAAATTATTCTTCCACTCTCTCTCCACACACACAGAAAAAAAATTGTTGCCCTCCCAAACTCCAAGTTTCCAGCAAGCAAATGCAAATGATTTAAACACATATGCACAGCATTTTAGATAATACAGTTATAAGGAAAATCAAAAGGGACAAGAGGCACATGGAGGGTCTAAGAGTTTGAGTCTAGAGACTAAGACTTTGATTTTTAGGTGATTATTGTCCTCATGCATCTCCCTAAATTTTTCTAAAATTTCTATATTTCTATTTTTTCTAAGCATAAAATTACAGAAATATATTGTACAAGTTTCTGTTATAAAGAATCTGTGGATAACCTCAAAAATTAAAATTCTAATAACAGAATGGCTGTTGTTTAACTTATAAAAGAGTCTTATCTTATAACTGAATTCTACTACTTTCCTAAGCTTATTAAAAATCCTAACAATTAATTTGCTGAGTTTGGCTAGGAACAAATACCTTTCAAGGTGTACAACTGTTATTCATCTATACTCCAATAGTGGCTGCAAGAGACTGTATAGGTTTTGGTTTTCTTTCCTTTCTTTAAAGTTTTTAGCTGTTATGGCCCAATATCTCCCAGGTAAGAATCTGCTTTCTAGTAACATGACATCTCTGAGAATTAGGAAAAGCTGATCCGTTCCATGCCAAGGCAGCCTTATCAAATCAAGTACTCATTTGGCTATAACACAATCTACCTACCTTGATCAGTGTTATTCTAAGACATAAAAAATGTTTCCAGAATCACAAGTGCTCTCAAATTATTCATGTGAGGACTCTCCCCTGGATTTTAATGAGTCAAATATCTTTAAAAGCAGGAATATCAGAAATTCTATTATCCCCCCTTTAAAAATACCTCCATGGTGATGTGACAGGCTCCCTCCATTGGCAAGGATTTCATCTCTAGCAGCTGCCTGTAAATGGAAACAACACAAAATGTTGCTGCTACTTGGATTTCACTTTGGAGTAGTTAACATTTACTGACTTCTCCCCAGATACCCAGGAAGGTACCAAGCAATTTGCTTGAATTCTTCATTTATTTCCACTACACAGCCAGAAGCACTTATGGAAGACATCTCTTAGTTCAAGCATATGGGATATGTTATTTGTAGTTCTACACACATATCTAAGAGGAAAAGGGAGGACAGGGGAAGGAGGGAAAAAGGGAGAGAGGAAAAAACAACTCCAAGTTTCCGTTTTGCCCCCTTGTTTAACCTCCTAACATGTTAAGTCCTAACCATCCTTATGGCAAGCACCTGGGTTGAAAGATAAACACAGAACAAAATATAGACAGTATGTACCATGAAAAGCAATGGAACCTGGAGCTGCCTTAGACCTTTCTGCTTCCCTTTTTCCCTACCTAACCCCTGCATGGCCCACTTTTAACTTTTTTTCTTTTAACTGAAAAAATTTTTCAGTTAGTATAAAAAGTGATGGGTTTCATTATGGATTTTTATGCATGTATTTCATTACATTTTCTATTCTTAATGATTTGCTAATATTTAATAGCCACAAGGTGATTACCTCCTGCACCTTTAGCTCCTCAGACATACTCAAGTCTATAAACCATCAGTGGTGGCTGAGGGAGAAGACTGCCCAGGTGGAACAGATGGACCAGACCTCACTGCAAAGTACTCTGAAGGAACCACAGGACTTGGGAGATGAGGTTTCACAGGTAAGCTAGTCTTTGCTTAAGAGCTTAGCATTTCTACTAAATCACTTCAAATAAAACTGCTCCATGAGATCAGAATTTGGAAAATAGAAATAGTTCAATATGTGAACTCCAAGGAAGGAGGTTTTGTTTGTTTTGTGGTGAGATGAGACTATATAAACCCTGGCTGGCCTGGAACTCACTGCACAAACCAGGCTGACCCTCAAACTTGCTACAGTCCTCTTTCCTCTACCTCCCCTGTGCTTGAAAATACAGGTGTGTACCACCGTACCCAGCTAAGCAAAGACTTTCATAGCCGGGACAGAGAGAGACAAATATAGTGGAACCTCAGGGCAGGTAAGATTCCTCAGTGCATAAAGTCGTTTGCTGCCATCCTGAACACGTTGAGTTTTAGCCCTGGGACCCATATGGTGGAGAGAAACAGTCAATTCCTACCAGGTTATGCTGTAACCTCCCTCCACTTGTGTGGTATTGCATATATGTACCTGTACACACACACACACACACACACACACACACACACACACACACACACACACACACACACACACACCCCAACACACACACACACACACACT